TCACAGGCTGAGTGGTGGTTCCTTCTAGTTTGAGGTGGAAGGAGGGACGAGTAGGTAACTTGTGCAGCGACTCAATAACGGAAATAAGTAAATGGATGCTGTCAGTAACCTCCTTGAAAAATAAAGGGGAGGTTTCAGATGCTCCTGAGATGTGGAGTGGCACCACATATTTTCGGGAAGGGGTAATAAAGTCTTCTTTTTTTGTTTCTTTCTCTAGCTCCTCTCTGGAGTCTCTAAATACACAGGGCTGTTTTGTTTAGATGTGTTTCACTTTGGTTGTAAGGACATTTTTCTCCTGCAGAAGCAAACCCAACAATCTGCAGCCTGAGCTCGGGGAGTCAGAAGGCAAAGTGTGTTTTTGGCAGGATCAGGGCTGCAGATAAAGACTGGTGAGTGACACTTGGGCATTCATACAAATGACCCTTTGCACAAAGCTAGAGGAGAAACACTGTGTGATCTGGAACTGCCACGTGAATTTAGAAAAGATGGAATGTCAGGAACAGAAAAATATGCATACAAGAATGTCTTTCTCCTAACATCAGACTTGCAACACGCTTGGATTTCCTTGGCTTTGTGAATGCTTTTCTGTCTTTTTTTTTTTTTTTTTTTCTTTTTCTGTTTCTGGGAGCTGAAGATGATTCTTTGGTGCCAGATTTTTCCATCTTCACTCTAAAAGCAATCTGTTCTACATCTTGACCCCATGCGTGCCGAAATGACTTTGACATGCGTTTGATGTACTGCACACCAGTCTCTTTGCCAGGAAAGGAAGAATAGAAGTTGGAAAGAGGGTGCAAGTAGCAACTAAACACATTTTGATCATTTAAGAGATTTAGAAAAGTGGAGGAAATGAATAAATAAATGAGAAGCGAGCAATTATATTAATTTTCTCCCCTGTTCATTCTCTGAACATAGTGGAGTTAAGTGTGGGGCCCTGGAGCCAGTGGTCCGGTTTGAATTCCAGCTCCACCTGTCACTAGCTTATGATCTTGGTTAATCTCTCTGTGCCTCCCTTTCTGCATCAATAAAATGAGTATGAAAATAATATTTACCTCATAGGGTTGTTGTGAGCTAATATATGAAAAAAGCTCAACAAGGTGCCTGGTATGTAGTTGAAACGATTTATTTGTTAGCTCCTACTATTTTTATTTCTTCCTTTTCTAGTAATTTCCTGGGTCTATGGGGTGAGGAGGGGAAAGGTCAATTGGGAGAAAAGTCAGTTCCAACCTCCACTGATTTATTTATTTATTTATTTATTCATTTATTCATTCATTCACTCACTCACTCACTCACTCACTGAATCTTGTTTGTTGCCCAGAGTAGAGTGCCATGGTGTCAGCCTAGCTCACAGCAACCTCAAACTCCTGGGCTCAAGTGATCCTCCTGCCTCAGCCTCCCGAGTAGCTGGGACTACAGGCATGTACCACCATGCGTGGCTAATTTTTACTGTATACGTATTTTTAGTTGTCCAGCTAATTTCTTATTTTTTAAGTAGAAACGGCTCTGCTCTTGCTCAGGCTGGTCTCAAACTCCTGAGCTCAAATGATCCACCTGCCTCAGCCTCCCAGAGTGCTAGGATTACAGGTGTGAGCCACCACACCCAGCCTCTCCACTGTTTTATTTGTGGTTGATTTATAGCATTATTGTATCCCCGGCTACACTTGTGTCCACATCCACGTTATTTTCACATAGCAATAGAGAGTTGATTACAATAATGTTGATGAGAACTTGAATCTTTTCACTCATTTAGTCATGCATTTGTGTTTGTTCATTTATCGGTTAAATATTTACTTGAGTAGGGCACTAGGCAATTTAAAACCTGTATAGAGCAGAGAGTTTTCCTCTGAAGGAGTCAAGCCATTTGGTTAATAGTGTCAACCATTAACATTGAATTGGAATGGTCATGTTTGGAAAAATCTGTTAAATCTCAATAAATGGTACTAATCATAAATATATGGTCTGGGAAAAATATTTTGTGGCAAAAACTTAGTTTCTGTACTAAGAAACTGATATCTCTAGCCATATTCATATACACCATCAGTCTTATGACTACAGATACGGTCTTACCACTCTTGTTTCTTCATCTCAACTTTACCAATACTTTTCCTTTGAGATTATCTGGCATTTTTCCCTTCTTTTGTGAACAAGGGTCCCTGCTTCAAGCTTAGTTTGAACACTTTTACCTCAAGTCATTCAATAAATATTTACTGAATGCCTGCTATGACCCAAACACTCTATTTTATGCAAAACAGTTTAGGGACTATGAATTACAAGGATACAGACCATAATTTTCATTTTATTTTTGGGTATATTTTAACCTACAATGTATTTACATCTGTTTTATTTTAGATGTAATTTAATCCACACTAAATTAAGACGCTTTTTCATCTGTTATCTGGGCTATATTAAGATGCATGAAGTATGTGGCCACTCTTTAAAATAGGAAATCTGAGAGTTGACCCATTTTCTCTTGAAAATCTAGTAATTCTATTGCAAGGATAATGATCCATTTTTGATTTGTTTCTTATGAGCTCAAACAAAGCTCATACCTTAAATGTTTTTCAACTGCTGGAAAAATTTTATCAGGCTTTCCAATATATTTGATTAAGATCACCAATGGTCATAGATGTGATGTCCAATAAGTGGAAAAATTATGAGACCATCTCGTATACTTAAAAAGAGAACTTGCTTGACCCGAGTCAGACATTTACTGCCCTGGGCCACAATTTTCTCATGGTAAAAAATTAGAAGTTTATCCTGGTAAGAATCACATGACTTTTAACGTTCTTTTATTTAAATTATGGGGATTTCAGACCTATGCCCTCCAGGTCTGGAATCCCAGTAATTTAAATAAAATTGGTATGGTAGCCACTAGCCACATGTGACTACTGAGTACTTCGAACGTGGCTAGTTCAAACTGAAATGTGTATAAGTGTAGAATACATAACATATTTTGAAGATTGAGTACCAAAAAAAGTAAAGTATTTTGGATATATTAGGTTAAATGAAATATATTATTAAATTAAACTAAATTTAAAATTAAATTAAAATAAACTTTAATAAATAATAAATTAAAATAAACTTCACCAATTTAGTTTTTAATTTTTTAGTGTGCTCACAAAAAAATTGACATTATATATGTGGCTTGCATTATATTAATATTGGACAAAAATATTGATATTGGACAGTACCAGTCTAGATCTTCAGAACAAAGGGATCAAAATCCATTTTCAGGGGCTTTTAAATGCCTAATAGTCAATATTTTGATATTGATATATTAATATTTATACCTCTGAAAGTCAAGTTTTTGAAGTTAAACTATTTTTATCAAAAACTATTACACTTGCATATGCAGGTATTTCTCACCAAGTTCCTCTTCAAGTTACTTTCTGTCAAGGTCCTGTGAAAATATTATGGTTATGGCCAAGCACGGTGGCTCATGCCTGTAATCCTAGCACTTGGGGAGGCCGAGGTGGAAGGATCGCTCAATGTCAGGAGTTCGAGACAAGCCTGAGCAAGAGCAAGACCTCATCTCTACTAAAAATAGAAATAAATTAATTGGCCAGCTAAAAATATATAGAAAAAATGAGCCAGGCATGGTGGCGCATGCCTGTAGTCCCAGCTACTCGGGAGACTGAGGCAGGAGGATTGCTTGAGCCCAGAAGTTTGAAGTTGCTATGAGCTAGGCTGATGCCATGACACTCTAGCCTGGGCAACAGAGTGAGACTCTGTCTAGAAAAAAAATATATATATTATGGCTATGATACTCAACACTCAAACCCTATCTATGGGTTTGTCTCAACTATATCATAAAAGATTATCAGGAAACAGACCAAATGATTAAGAGTCATTATTTTGGGGTAGTGGCACTCTGAATGATTTTCTTTTCATTCTTTTACTTTACAATTTTTCAACAATGAAGTCTCTTGTTCCTTATTCAGAAAAATGCATATCTTTACATTTGAGCATGATTTTATAAATTCTATAAAAATCACAAGCATGTTTAAAAAAAACCAAAAAAATGACTAACTTGAAAGGAAATACCCCCAAATACTTCAATCTGCTTCTCTATATTTCCAAATGCCTACAGTGAATAGGTTACTTCTATCAAGAGAAAGAAATACATTTTGTTTAAAAATTGCAATATCTACCCACTCTTTTAAGCTTAAATCTAAGTTAATTTGCATGCTGATTTTCTTAGAACTCCTGAAGCTTTTATCTCTACTTTATTAGACTGAATAGCAGGTATTTTAGATTTTTGCTTCAATCTTGATGCAAATACAGGCATTTTAATATTTTTATGATAATTACCATCAAACAGAACAAGATTTAGTGACTGGCTATGCAGGAGATGAGGGGGGAGAATACCCAGAAGATATTTTAATATGCAGGGCCACCGTATACAGGGGTTTAGGGTCTGCTGCAAAAAATGACCATCTAAAAAGTGCCACTTTACATACGAGTCCTAGAGCAACAGGGAAGCAGCCTTATGCACATGGTCCACACTAGCTCATATAGCTGCATGCACTCTTAGGAGGGCTCAAGAGCACACATACACACACTCACATGCATGCACGCATGCGTGCACACACACATACACACATGAGTGAGTGGGGTTGTGCCATATCCCAGTCCTGCTGACTATCCCTGCGGTTACTTCTCTCACCTTGTCCTTCAATCTGAGAGGCCAAACCCACAGCACTGCCTGCCTCAGGTACCCTGGGCAAGGGGACATGGAGAGCGCACAGTGCCATGGTGTGTGCCTGGTGTCAGTGGGGGGCAGGCAAGAGTGGGGGCACATGCAGCCAGGCCCACTGTCTGCCTGGCTGGCTCTGGAAAGAGCTGCGCTTCTGAGGGCCCGACAGGTGTGACTGATGAACCTGGCAATGATATACTCACTCAACTTTTTTTTTTTTTTTTCTCCAGGAAAGGTAACTTTTCCCGATTCCCATGAAGCAATAGCCCTCCTGGCTTATGGCACTTTTAAACACAGCAGAACTTACTGTTGGTAGTAAAGATAACTTCTCCCTCCTGGGGCGTGGGGTCTGCATCCTGGACCACCTGCAAGGCTCCCACAGTCCGGACAGCAGGGTCCAAAGTGACTGAACTTTCATTTACTGTCGTGTCGCTTGCGCCTGTGATCTGGTTGGTTGGCGGCCCTCCCAGAGAGCCCTCGAAGTCGGTGGGCAAGTCGTCCATGCAGTCGGCGTTGGGCTGAGGGGGGGAGAAGAGGACCTGTTCTCAGTGCACATCGTCAACTCGGAGATGAAAAGTCTACAGCCTGAATATTCTGTCTCAGTAAAAAATAAGTTCTTTACTATTTACTTTTGAGCCATTTTATTTCAAAAGATTCCAAATATAGTTTCTGTAACATCAACATGAAAAGATCTTCCAAAATTTTCTTTCCAAGAGTTCCTTTCAGATCTAGGTATAAATTTTTAATTCCAAGAGCAGTAGTATCTCTACATTTAAATAAATACTTAGGGGGAATACATGATACTCATTTATAAAGATAGCACTTCCTTACATATAGTGTTAACACCCCACCTAGTGCAGAGCTGGCAGCTGATAATTATCCCCAAAGACTCATGCACTGTTTACAAATATACTAGTGTTATGAGAGTGGGAGGGGGATAGAATCTGAGTCATTATAAATTGTTCATTAAAGACACACACATACACACAAACACATACAAAAGCACAGGGTAAGGCTATTCTTTTAAAAATATAAGCTATAAATCAGCTATAGAAAAATATTTCCATGTCCTTAATATGGAATTGACTGTCCATCAGTCAAATCCTCTAAAGTCAAGTCTTAGAATCTTAAAACTAGGGTGAGACTATCTTGTTCCATCATCCATTCATTACAAGACTCTTTTTTTCCTCCTGAATATCACTGACAGCTCCCCTTGAAAAACACAGGAATGGGAGCTCTCTGCTTTGCAAGGCAGTCCATTCTGGTCAGCATTGGATTCTTTTATTATTGGGCAAAATCTTCTTCTTCACAGATTTTACCGTTTTTGGTTTTAGTTCAGCTGTTTGAAGCCATGGTGAATATATTTTAGCTCTTCCACAAACAGCTTTAAAAATTACTTTCAGTTATGTCTCTACATGAACTCATAAAAATTATTTTTAAAAGATGGTGGTGGAAGGGTCTGGTCTTAAGAAATATTAAGAATAGCTGTGATTTTTTGTTGTTGTTTTAGTCAGAACTTCAGCTTTGTCGTGAGAGATGATAATTACGGGGTTTTACACTCCTGATGTATGCAGAACGTGACGGTCACGATTAGATGAGGGGAATTTTGGGTTGACACTGATTGAATTAACATCACGATATTGCATTTGAAGTTTCTTAGAAGAGAAAACCCACAACTCGTGAACTCCTAGGGAGTGCAAAGCAAGAAATCCTAAGTGCTAGACGTTTGTCCTAGTTTTCTGCTCTTAAGCTGCGTATAATCAGTCTCCTGAGAGCCACACCCGGGTTTCCGACGGGCAGCTGGAAATCTCCATCATCCACAAACTCCTCAAAATCAGCTCATTCCTTTCTTCCCTGCATCCTCTTTTCTTTTTGTCTTCTTTAGCTCTTGGAAGTGAGCCAATTCATTGAAACTCAATTTGTCAATTTCTAGAACGGCCAATTCACCAAATTTACTAGATTTACTGACTGTGGTCTTGGACCCGAGCAGGTGTGTTTGTGAACATTCTCTCCCCATTACCAATTTCCCTACCTCCTTGCAATCTCGTTTCCAGTTTATTTGTCTTTACTATCCCATCAGAACATTCTTTTTTTATTTTTTTATTTTTTTTATTTTTAAAGCACAGGTATGGTTCTTTTCTTTTCCCAAGGAAGGAAGTCCACGCTCCCTCGCATGACAGAGCGGATGCTCTAGAGCGGAGGCCTGGCTTGCTTTTCTGGCCTCGCCTTCAGCCTTTGGAAACAAAGAGCACACCACACCTTCCCTCGTTTCAGTGTGTTACCTCATGCTTTCCCTCTGCTCAGGATGACATCTGTCCTAGTCACCCTTCCTTTCCCATCCCAAGGTCTCAAACCAACCCCTGGTGAATTCCCAGTCACCCTTTAATTCCTAGGCCAAATGTCCCCTTTTCTAAGAAGTGTTCCCTTCCAGGTAGTTATCTTTGACCCTGTAGCACTTTATGTATCACTTCTCCCATGCTGTTATGGTCATTTGTTAATGTGTTGGCCTCACTCTGCTGGGCCATGTGCATTGTAGAGTGAAGCAACCACACCATACTGATTTTGGATTTCAGTCCCACCTGCAACAGTGATACTAACAATTATTACGTGCTAAGTAAATGTTGATTTGGAAATTGTATCCAAGTCTCAGATATTCACTCTAAAAACTTGTACATGTTAGTATCTTCCCTAGATCAATTAAGGGAGGATTTGATACGATACTTAAAAAACCATAAAGTTCTGTGCAAAGGTAAGATATGCTATATACAGATGTTTATTAAGCAAAATCAACTGAATGGGGGGTATCGGAGAAAAAGACCTCAAAATGGGGGCATTGTGGTTATATTTTCAGCCATAAACACCTGACTACGATTATATGTAATAACAATTGACATATTTTTCAAAATGTTGATCCTGGTTGTTGATATCGTCCCTTCATTTTATGTCACTTCTCAATTTTGATGCACTGTGTGTTTTGCTTTTAGTTTGTTGGCCAGTAGGAAAAGTGTCATATCTTTAACAGAGCAGGCAGCGGGTGAAAGAGCTAATCAGCTCACTGAGACTGTCAATGATCTGAGCATGAATAATTTGGCTTGGATATAATATTTACCAGACCAACTTTTCAGAACGCAAAAGATTTATATCCACTCTACATGACTCATTAAATAGAATAATAGTTTGAAAAGAAACCCCATTTATAGACTTCTAAGAGAAGTCATAATCATAATGTTTTAAAAAAAGATGTCAAATGCTATTTACAAGTGAAGTCTGCATGAGAATAAAAATTCAGGTTAGCATGGGAGAACTCCTTAAATAAGGCAACAGCTACATAGCTAAAGACTTGTGAATACAGAAGCTATACAGGATTTTTCTATTCAATAATCATCATCATCCTATTCATATCAGGATAATAGTGATAGGAGAGGGTGTTTGCTGGCATATGAAAGACCCAGCTTATATGGTACCTTCGAGAATTCAATGAAACTGTTTTGTCATCATTCAAAGATAGACCTAGATCTGACTGGATAGAAAGGAAGGTGAAGCTCTGTGATGTAGATAAAAGGATAAAAACACTTCTAGTAATAAAGGACCCTGCCTCCTTTCAATTCGGTATTCTATTTCTCTGGGCAAAATTTAATGGGAAAAGATATCCAATGTTATGGGAGTTTCATGATCCGTGAGCTGTGCTCTCATTCTTCAGCTCATTGTAGAAAAATCACTTACAAAATGAAAATGTTCCCCGCTCTTGGCTTTCAACTGAAATTTATTTGTCTTATAGCTCAGGCAGGCACAAGGACACTCAGTGAAAAACAACAAAAACAAGCAAACAAAAAAACCCAAAATATTTACCACCTGTATAATCTAGTGGATGAGGATTATAACCAAGTTGTTTGTGAATGACACCAAAGGAAAATCAGGTGAAATTCATAAATATGATTCTGTGACTGGCACATTCAAGACTCTGAAGGCTATAATTTATTGAGCACTTAACAGATGTAAGGGATCCAGAGATGATATATCAACAGACATCAATTATCAGAGTGGCAGGCCCTTTTCAATTTTCTTCGAAGAAGAAGAAATGGAATATAAGGAATATAGGAGAATTCTTAGACAATTTCTTTAAGCTGCATTAAAAAGGCTTAGGTTAGATATAGGTAGTGTTTTCTAACTGAGAAGGCTGTGAGCTTGCCTAATGAGATGGAAAGTTTTACGAATGGAATGGAAGTCATCTCGCTGGTATAATTTAGGTATAGTGCTGCCCAATGACAGGAGGATGGAATGGAACAACATCCCAAATTCCTCCCAGATTCTGAGTCTATCATTCTCTAGGACAAAAACAGCAAAGCCTTGGGAGGCGCAGAGGGTAGCCATATGCCTTGGTGCTTTGTGAGAAGTAGCACATGACACATGCCTCATTCTTCATGGAGGATGTTCTGTTCTGCAGAGCGAGCTTGGATATGTGTCGTGTTCTTGTTCAGCTGGCCTTTAAAAATTCTTGGCAAAATCCAAAAGATGCTTCTGATGTTTATTTTTCTAAGAGTCAAGTGTGAAAAGGAAAATCCTTATCCAGATTTGATAGGCATCAAACCATGACCAGAATGCCCAACTGCTGAAAGTTAAATTGTTACTAATTTTGGAAATGAGCCCAAAGGCCACCAAATGATTCTATTTTAAAAATAATTAATAGAAATATTTGCAACTCATTTACAAGTAGCTTCTGGAGAAGTTATACCTCCAGGGGAAAAGACTGGAGTCAAATGCTATTTAGTACAAAATTTAACTACTGGAGCTTGTTTGGTTTCATTGTCCTGACCAGAGAACAGTGGGATTGACACCTAGCATCTCTGAAAATATCCTGAGCAATAGAAACTAGGTCAAATGATGCAACTGTCTCCCTTGGATTGGGAGAACTGTGAGGATTCTAGATTTTGCAGACCACAGACACACATACACACATGTGAGCACACACATACATACATTTCCCCCTCCCATGAAAGAGTAAGTTACAGCCAGAAATGTGAAAGTGCAAAAACTGAGTTCAATTTTTTAAGTCACCAGTATCTGGTAGAGATGTTGGGTTTATGCTAATGTTTTATGCTCACTGCAATTGATTTTCACCTTGAATGCATTATGCATTTATGACTCTGGTCTGAAAATTATTTAATGCATTGTCTTGCAAATCTAGCTCAGAGCTATAGTCACACAGGTTGATTTGTGTTTGGAGTATCAACTGTGTAAATCAGCATACAGCTGGCATGGAGACAGCTGGCACAGGGTAGAAAATTCAGGGTAATGCTTCAGCGTGCCCCTCCAACAGAGCAACTCCGATAGTCCTACAATAATTAGTCCTCTGGCATTAAAGAAAACCTTTGATATGGGATCTGATCCTTCCTTCTTCAGTGACATCTTGGGACTATTAACATTCTCTTTATTCTCTGTCCTTAGTAGTGAGGAGTGACAATAGGGAGGTTGCAGCAGAGTGGAGGGGAGAGAGGAGGCTGGCATCTGTATTCTCTTTGCCTGGCTGATTTTAGACAGTGCCTCATGCTTTCTCACATCTCGCTGTGTAGTCCTTGGATTTGGTGGCCTGCCTTGCTTCCTGCCCTCCTCTGTGTAGACGGGATAACTCACAGCAGCTGGTGTCTCCCACCCACCAGGTTGCGGGCTTCACTTGACACAGCCCTGGGAAAGTCTTTCCCTGGAGCATCAAGCCAGCTGGCGGGATTCTCTCTGTACTAGGGGAGAGACTGAACTTTAGAAAACATGAAGCTGAGGGAACCAGCTTGATAGTGGTGCTAGGATTCAGTGACTCTGGTTTCCTGTGCACCCAATGTCGCCCCAGAGATCTGAGTTATGCAGAAGATTTAAGCCTGATTCTCAGCCACTGTCCTCCCCTCCCCTTGCTAGGAGGAGCTCGTTCCCTCTGAAAGCTAGGTGATTCTGGGACAATGCCAGAAAGTGTGGCATGCAGAGCTCCCTTGTGGCTGAGCAGGGGCAATGATGCAAAAGGTGAGCAATGTGTGTGACTGGCCCGTCATGCCTCTGCTGGTGGCCCCACCTGCCCTCACCTGCTGCAGCCCAGAAGAGAAGCTGATGGGCTGCACAAGATGTACTCTGACTCACAGACAAATACAACCGACACAGTGAAAGGGTTGTGATGTCCTCAGACTGAGAAAAAGTGAGAGGACAAATGTTTCTAGACATGGGTATTCTCTTGGGGCCTCCTAAGATGATACAACTGCTATGTGACTTAGTGGGGACATAGAAAATCCAGGTAGGATGTTTCCTCCCTGCCTTGGGGGCAACGCAGAAAGACAGACATTACGAGGCTGTAGGCTGTGCTGTGCTTACCGGGATCCCTAGGGCTTTAAGAATGTTCATCTTGCACATGGGGCAGGTGCGATGATCTAGAAGCCAGGGGTCAACACAGGACTTGTGGAAAAGATGCCTGCAATGAGAACCATACATCTTAGAGCGGTGGTAAGTGCAGAGACGGCCTAGTCCACCATAGCCCAGCAACTTGTCCAAGGCCACGCGATTGCTCAGTGGCAGAGCCAAGACTTGAACCTCCAACGCCTAACTCCTGGGCCATGGGTTTCCTGTTACATCCTGTGATGATATAGTTAAAATGTGTCTGGATCCCAGGAATGTCCTATGTAATTTGCAAATGAGTCCTCCAAGTTTCTGTAAATGTAGAGAAAGCAGAAATTGAAAGACTTTTCTCTTTTTCAATGGGAAGAATGTTTAATGGAGAGAATGCAAGTGGGGAAGCTTGTACAGACCTTGTAGGATGACTCAATGAGGCTACTTTTTAAAAAAATCCAGAATTTCTTTACCTTCAATCAGAAGACAACTCCAGAAAGTAAAGGATGATTTCCACTAATACTTGGGGTCTAACACAAAAGAGATAAAGAGCTCCTGGAAGCATCTGATAACAAAGTGACATTTTAAGTTGTTACAGCTGCTGGTTGTCCAACCAGAAGCCAGAGCTCAAGTCTGGCTTGTTTCACTATGGTTGACCATTACTGTTTGTACAGGTGATGTGCTCTTATATATCCCTATTCACATGTGCCCATCATTGGGACCCTTCGTCCACATGCAGAAGTGGGGGCATTTAGTAGGTGCAGGAAGGCTTCCTAACTGAACGTTCTCTCAACTGGGATAGCAAGAGCCCACTCAGAAAAGTCAGGAGCTGCTTGAGTCAGGGCTTTTCCTCTTACTCTCAAAACTCCAGACCACAGGCAGAAGCAGTCAGAATTTCGGGCAACAAGAGAGAGAACTGTCTGTCTTAAGTATGAGAGGGCTTCCTTAGGACATTCTGTCTGTGCTTGGCTCTCTATTTCTCTCTTCTCAGTGGGGGCACTTTTCCTGAAATTTCTACTCTGCTCTCTCACTTTCACCTTCTTTTGTTCTAACTGGTCCAAAATCCTCATTTGTTTGTGTTAGAGAGCTTTGGGCTCAAATGCTTAAAGAGTTACCCCCAAATTACAGAAAAGATTTCAGTAAGTACCACTTTTAAAATTGAAATTAAGAAGAAGTCAAATGCCAAGGATGGGATTGGCTGTATTCAGGCTATGATTTGATTGGGGATTAGAAAAAGGAGTTGAAGCTACCAGGATGTGTTGTTATCTTTCCAGATTATTGTTTAGGATGCCCTGCAGATTTATTCCTTAAAAGGTATATATCTCACTCATTCATTCTTGTATCCATGCATTCATTCAACAAACCATATATATATATACACCAAGAAGTGTGCTCAACACTGAGAATGAGCATGATAGTGACTTGGCTCCTTCCCTTAGGAAATATAGCAGGAGAGGCAGATATTAATGAAATTATATATAAATAAACTACTGCGTGGCAACAGTGCTAAGTTCTTCATTAGAAAAACAGGGTGTGTGGTGGGGAGGGGCTTATAACTGGGAGATTTATCCTAGTTCAGATGCTCAGGTATTCTTAGCAAAGTATCAGAGCTGAAACCAGGGGGCTACGCAGACATTGTCCACATAAGGGGAAGGGTGGGGAGGTGGGGAAAACGTTTGTTCCACATGAAGGGAATGGCTCCTGAAGAAGCCAGAGCTGGGTACTGGGAGGCGGCCAGTCCCCGCGCAGCAGAGTGAGGGAGGAGCAACAATGAGAAGGGAATGTCTGGCACTCAAGTTGGATAAAGCCACTCCGATAGCCCTAGAGAACAATACTGACCTTCCTATGTTCAGGCTCTCTACCTAGAAAACAAGTTCCTAATCTGAACTTGCTCACCAGCTGGTGTTGCTCCTGGGAAAAGGTCAAATACTCTGATCCCCCTGACCATCCCTGGGAGGCAGGGCTCCGGTGTGCTTCCTGCACCCGGGCTGCAGGCAGAATGACGGCACCATTCGCTGTTTCAATACTCAAATCAGCCACGCAATATCCCCATCTCAGTTGCCTGGTCTGTAAGATGGAGATCTATCTACCAAAGCAGGGAAGGGTTTCCCTGAGGTTCCGATGCACAGAAGTTCTGATTATCCTCAAACACCCCCAGTTATTTCTCTCTATGCACTGGTCATTCCTGCGTCTCCTCTGCACTGGTTAGTGTTTGTGCGTCAGTGTGGCAAGGCTGTAGCACCCACTTGTTCCATCAACTCTAATCTAGGTGCTGCTATGAAGGTGTGTTGTAGATGTGGTTAATATTGACAATCAGTTGACTTTAAATAAAGGTGATTATTCTTAATAATCCAGGTGGGCCTCATCTAATCATTTGAATGGCCTTAATAGCAAAAGAGCTGTCCCTGAGAAGAAATTCTGCCTCGAGACTGTAGCCTCAGCTCGTGCCCAAGAGCTTCCAGCCTGTGGGCCTGCCCTGCACATGTCAGACTTGCCAAATCCCACAATCACAGAAGCCGATTCCTTGAAAAACCTATCTGTATCTATGCCTCTACTTCGATGTATCTCCCACTGGTTCTGTTTCTCTGGAGAATCCGGACCAATTTATCCTCCAATTAGAACATAAGCTCTATGAGAGCAAAATCCTTGTTTGCTTGAGTCACTGTAGCGTCCCCAGCACCCAGAATAGCTTCTGGCACACAGCACTTGCTCAAGAAACGTGTGCTGCGTGAACAGACGGACATTTATTTATCCAAGGACCCAGCACTCCTCCCTGCCTCTGCACGGTCATCAAGTCTCATTCACTCGCTCCTCCTGGATTTCTGTCACATCGCCTCCCTTTCTTCTCAGTGCTGCTCCGTCCTTCACCAGCTCATCCTCTTTCCTCTGTATTACCACAGTGTAGCATCTAAACTGCTCTCCACGCGCCCGTCTTTTCCTGTTCTCTTCATCCCACTCGTCGTTGCCAGATATATCTTCCTAAAATATAGCACCAGTTACGTCAGCCGCTGGTTCCATTCTGTTCTGTGCTGGGAGCTGGTACACGGATGAACAAGACGAGGTCCGGCCCTTCCAGGTGGTCCCACAGTGCTGCTGTGATTCCCCGTTAACGACTAAGGAAAGGGCCGCTGAAAGGTCGAAGCCTGGATCCATTGCTTTTTGGCTTTTCAATCTTAAGCAAGTTACCTTAGCTCTGTAAGACTCAGCTCCTCATTGCTGAAGTTTTATCTTACAGGAATGGGGTTTGTGACTGAATGACAGTGTGTGTGCACTTGTGCATGAGAGAGAGAGAGAGATGGGGGGGAGAGGGAGGGAGGGAGGAAATAATGTCCACAAAGCTTAAAACTAAGTCCTGGTACTCCTTAATCTTAAACTACCATCAGTCGTTTTAATACCATTGTATTGTACCTAATTTTTAAATACTATGTGATTACTATGATTTCCACTCTTTAGTGTAATCTTTCTAACATGGAAAGCAACTAACTGAAAATTAAAAAAAAAATCAAAGGGAGAACTAAGGGCAAAAAATGCTGAAAGGACACATGTGGCAGTCAGGCTGTTATCAGCTAACATTCATTTATTTCTAGCATGGTATTTCATGTGTTGACCATCGAATATGAAAAGTATATCCCTATAATTGGGATTGCAAATGCTTTTTTTTCTGCCTTATTTTTTTTTCAGAATTTTTATGGGGGTACATATGTTTTGGTTACATAATTTGCTTCTGTACAATTTGAGTTGAAGTTATACACGTGTGCAAATAATTTTTTTTTTCTCCTGAATGGGGGGGAAAAAAAAGTCACCAGGCTAAACAGATAAACAAAGAAGTAGGGAAGGAATCCGGAGCTAAGTGAAATGCACCAACAGTAAACATATCAATGCAAAGTCAATGTCAACTCATCTTATTTGTACGGTTCACAGAGAGCACTGTCCCTTCCCATGTTTTAACAAGCACTGTATGAGAAAGTACAGAGAGAAGAACATCAGGACAAGGTATTCTATCTCTTAACAATTCTGAAAGTTAGGAAATACAACAAAGGGCTGGCCAAAACTGTTCTCTGTGCTCATTCACCAAAGGGAAGCACACACATGAAAGAGAATTCTTCAAACCCCTGAAAAAAAAGAGGATGCAGACAACTGCGTAATGATGCTGAGGTGGTTATGATAATAAGTTCTCACGTTTTTTAGCAGTAATGACAAAACAGGGTAAACTAATTTCCACATCTATTGATTCTTGTTTTCTGTTCTTTCACCTACATGTGTGAGTCTCTCCCCAATTAAATGACATTTTTCCCCCTTAGCTGGAGAAGGAAGGCGGCTGTTCTGTTCCTTATATCTTGTTTACTTTTGTGGCCTTGTTAGAGCCTACCAGCCTGCAACTGAGATCAACACCCCGTGGTTTTCCTTGTGGCACCAGGGCAGGCTGTGTCATTCTCCTTAGTGAAATAGTTATTAAAGCATGTGAGTCACTCAGGTACCCAAGAATTCCCCTACTCCCAGGCAACATTAACTATTTTTAAAAAGATATCCAGTGCTTTTATGGGTACATGAAATGTTTCTTCAGAGCCTCTGAATCTTATTTGCAAAATTGTCAATGAAGTAAAAGTGATTTTTTAATTAATGAATGCTATGGACAATATCTACCAGTTTTTGTATCCCTACTATGCCCCAGGCATGTTACAGACATAATTAATTCACAACAGCCCCTATGAGGTAGAAATTACTATTCTTGTTGTATGGAGGAGAAAGCTGAAGCTCATTAAATTCTCCAAAGAACTAGCAAGCTGCAGAGCTAAGATTAAAACCCCACCCTACAGTCAGTGTTTTCTCCCAACTGCACACTCCTCTCTCCCTCCTCAAGCTACCATTGGTAAGGGGGTAGTTGGTGGCATTCAAACTTTTATTCTTTCCTAATGTATTTTTTGTGCTCCAACTTTAAGCTCTTAACCTGTCTGAGCCTTAGTCTCTTCATCTATAAAATGAGGATAATACTCATGCACTCACTGCTACTGTTCATGCAGTGTGCCAACTCTCCATCTTCCAGCACATGGGAAGATGACAAGCTCTCCTGGTGGTAGCTATGGC